TCTCAAATGTGAGGATTCACTGCTTTTCTTTGTCCTTTGCAATTTATGTCACTTTTAGCTATGAAAGAATTGTGGATTTATTTTTTTATTTTTACATTTTTCATTTCATTTATCAAATATATTTAAAATAATTGTTGTGGCCCTCTGTTAAAAATGTAGACGAGTGTCAACATCAGAAGTGAATGCTGAGTTAATGAGGTCGGTGCTCAAACAGTTGTCATGTAAAATAACTGTACACTTACATTATCTAAGTACAGTATGCTCTAATTTTAAAGTAGGCTATAGCACTCTCCTTTCCACCCACACACTAAAAGTCAAGTTCTGTTTTAAATCAGTCATTCATGGTCTGATTAGAAGCTTTACTGACTTTGGCCAGTGTAAACATAACCTATTTCCACCTCACGGTTCCTATATCTGACCTACATTTTCCCCTGGCAGCCTCACCGCGCTTAAACCAAGAGGACTGATGCAACGGGGCGTGGTGGACTGCTAAACCCCGCCCACATTCAGTGATCTAACCTCTCATTGGTCAAATGGACGGAGTCTCTCTGTCGTGATTGGCCGGCGTCGCTGTCCGTCACAGTTACGGCGCACATGGGGGTTGAGTAAGAAGGAAGCCACGTTGACACTAAAAGTGGTGTTTTCAGTTATTTTCCGCCGCCGGGAAATAACGGTCTCGTCGTCAGCTTCCGTCTGTCAGTTCAGGAACCTCAGTTGAAACATCTAGTAAGGTAAATACCTCCGTGTTACATGAATTTACCGTATTTCTCATTCATTTCTGGTTATGAAACCTAGCTAACAAAGCAGCTAGCCGAGGGCAGGCGGTCATCAGCTAGCCTGGAAATGCTATCATCATCCACCAGCATCAGCTGGAGCTCAAATGTTACATCAGCTGCTTGTTAGGAAACATTAGACAGTGTTTAAGAGCGAGCTGAACAGGGAGACACAGTTTTCATTGTGATAAATCAGCGGTTCTGAACAGTAATGTTACAAACTGAGCTGTCAGCCTCTTTAGCATCAAAGCATCAAGACTGGAAGATGTGAAAGTGTTTGTTTGATGCAGGTGAACTTGAATGTAACACAAGAGCTCACAGCTGCAAATGTGTCCATATCTCAGTAAAATAACGTATTAGTGCTGACAGTGTTTCATCATCACTCACTGTCTGTGGGCCAGATCCACACTTTTACTCTAGATTACATCATTACCAAAGCCTGTCTCTCTTATACAAGGCAGGGTTAGGGTGGTGTGGGGTGTGTTTGGGGTTTATTTGACATGCATTACAGTCTGCCACCACTGTCTGTTTTTTTTTTTTTACAGGTCAGAGAAGCCACATTGTCTAACAGGATGAGTGTGGGATTCATTGGAGCGGGCCAGCTGGCTCACGCACTGGTGAAAGGGTTCACAGCTGCAGGTGACACCGCTTTCTTTGTTGTGCAAAATTAGCCTTGAACTGAGTCCAAAGATACTGATGTCAAATCATACACAACTGATTTTGGGTTGGATAAAAATGCAATCACAGCTACGCGTACACGTAATATAAACACATCTCTACCTTAGTAACACCTGCAGAGGTATCAGGGGGTTTTTGCATTTCTTTTGTTTTATGTATTCAAGGTAGATCATTCTTTTTGTTTTCTGCCAGCTGCTGTAACATGTGAATTTCCCTCTGGGTATCAGTAAGGTTTTATTTTACAGCGACCATTTCCCATCCTCATACCTCCCTCTCCACTTCCTCCTGTCTCTCTCCCAGGTGTGATTGCTACACACAGGATTACAGCCAGTTCCCCAGACACAGACCTGCCCACTGTGTCAGGGCTGAGGGTGAGAAGACAAGTTTCTCCTTTTGTTGTGTGGTGTCTGGAAATGGGAAGGGAAGCGGAAACGTTGGTGCTAGCATGCATGTGTGCAAGCACGGGCTTGCCCAAGAGGTTATAATATAATGTCTGCGTGTTGCTGTAACGACACCTGTTTCTCCGATACCTCTTAAGACTCTCTTCCTCTCTCTTCGCCATCACCAATTCCTCTTTGTCCTTCTCCTGCAGAAAATGGGGGTGAACATGACGACTAGCAACAAGGAGACCGTCAATAAGAGTGATGTGCTCTTCCTGGCTGTGAAACCCCACATCATCCCCTTCGTTCTGGATGAGATTGGGCCAGATATAGAGGACCGTCATCTCATAGTCTCCTGTGCTGCAGGCGTCACCATCAACTCCATAGAGAAGGTCAGCATCTGTCACTATCGCTCTCTGGCTCTGTAATCCAGAGTTATTAATCTGCTGAAGTTTCACAAGCTTTAGATTCCTTTCCTCTCTTCCCCTCAAGCTCTTACATTGTTTAATTTGGTTTCTGTTGTAATTGGTTATTGTTGGCATGCTTCCGAACATGGGGAAAATTTGTTTTACATTTTGCCTGCTCTACAAACCTGTCCGTGGTCCTGTTCTTGTTATTTCACAGAAGCTGCTTCAGTACCGTTCATCTCCTAAAGTCATGAGGTGTATGACGAATACTCCAGTGGTGGTGAGAGAGGGAGCTACAGTGTACGCCACTGGGACACATGCAGAGGTAAAGTGGAGGGATTGTAGATACAAGAGTCAAATGTCTTATGAATGAATTAATAGTATATGTTTTTTTAAGAGTTCAGTTTTTTTCACTGTATCTGTTATAAAAGTGTCAAAAACTTGCACCGAAAAGGTAAAACTGGACCTTTTGCTTTGAGTAATTCTCCCATATCAATACCAGCTTGATGTCCTGCTTGTTTTTAGGTGGAAGATGGCAAGTTGCTGGAGCAGCTGATGGCCAGTGTGGGTTTCTGCACTGAGGTGGAGGAGGACCTCATTGACGCTGTCACCGGGCTGAGTGGGAGTGGGCCGGCTTACGTAAGTAACTTCAGGAGGGTTGATTATCTGCGTCTTCTGCTGTCGGGCTTCACAGAGAGGGCCTAATAACTAATATTTTTATTTATCACATGTTTTTTTGATTAATTATGTCTGTTAGTTATTGTCTATAAAAGGTCAAAAATAATGTCAATCACAAGTAAACAAACCCTCAAAGTGATGGAGTGTTATTTGACTTTTGTCAGTTTATAATAGGATATAGAGAAAAGTAAGCAAATCTTCACAGCTGTCAGCAGCAAATCATTGGTCATTGATTAAATGGTAAGTCTGGCTGGTAATATGTTGTAGATATTTTCAGGCTTGAGAAAATCAGTGGTAGGGAGAAGAGGTCAAGTGCAGTGCCCGAGTTTTTCTATATCAGGATTTTTTTCCTGTAGAAAATACATGAGGCTGCCCAGCTGTGGTAATGACTTCTGTTACCATGTGCATATTTCCAAATCTCAGTCTTTCCTGCTTTATAAAACGGTCACGTCAACTTTACCGTGTAGCAGACAGAGGTGTGTAGTGGTTTAGGAAATTAAGAATAATTGTGTCGGCGGTTTTTATCTGCTGTCTGCATAAAGCTTGAGCTCTAGACAGGTTTTTTTGCTCAAAGGTGTATGAATACATTTTTGCCTGCCCTAACTGTGAGGGAACTTTAGAATTGAGTGAATGTCAGTGTTAAAGAGTCAACTTACTGCTGTACTCTGTACTGTGCACACTGAACGGTATAGAATAGGAAAGAAGCATAGGAAGCTTGATTCAAATTGTTGATATTATCTGATGGTTAACAATTCGTAAAAAATGTGATTTCATTGCTGCTTAAAGGGAAAAACGTGTTTGTGTGTTTAAACAGGCGTTCACAGCTTTGGATGCCCTCGCAGACGGAGGAGTGAAGATGGGTCTTCCCAGGAGACTGGCTGTCAGACTTGGAGCTCAAGCCCTATTGGTCAGTGTAGGTGTGTGTGTAGGTGTGTAGGTGTGTGTGTGTGTAGGTGTGTGTGTGTTATTTATGTCTCTTTTGCTGCACCTGTTCTCAATATAGTCTCCTTGATCCACTGCTCATCATAGTAGGAGTTCTTGCTTTCAGTGCAGCCAGCATTTCTGTTGTCACATAACTATTAACTTAAATTCAAAATAAAACCCTGTTAGTTATTCTGATTTACTGAAAAAAATGAGAAAAAATAAATGTCCAACATGTAGCTGTTTTCTGCAGGGTCTACACGGGTGAATGAAATTTAAAAAAAGATAAAAGCAGAAATTTCAAATTGCTGTTTTCAAGTAAAGAAACACAGATATCACTTAATGTTGTTAATGCAGACACTGTTTTCATCACAATTTGGCAATTTGTCAAAATAGATTAGAGGAAATTATTCACTTCAAACTGTTTTTATAGTCATGGCAGCTGCTTCAGGCTCTTGTCTTTTACTCATTGCTCAGCATGTTCGTCTCCTTTCTTCATTTTTATGAGCAATGTTCTGTGTTCTGCCTTGTTTTTTCTGCAGGAGTCTTTTCAGAAGTGTCTCCTCGTGTTTGCACATTTGTCTGCGGGAAACACTCACCAAAGGCACTGTAGTTGCATAGTCATGTTCGCCTGTTGTAAAACCAACAAGCTGCCTGGAAAATCTTTTACAAATTTAACTCTGTACGTCAGATTTGATTTATTTTCCTGGAAGAACTTTATAATTACTTGTGATTAGTTTATATGTGCACAATCCGCATTATAGTGATGACAAAAGCATATCTGCTGCTCGGGATGGGCACTGCATCAGCACTCCATGACTTTGTAGGAGTAAACAATAACTTGTCCATATAGATCTTCTTGCATTTCTTAAGTTCTTTCTCATGTTCCTGTTCCTCTTCAGGGAGCAGCCAAGATGCTGCTGGACTCGGAGCAGCACCCAGGCCAGCTGAAGGACAACGTATGCTCACCAGGGGGCGCCACCATCCACGCCCTGCACGTCCTGGAGAGTGGTGGCTTCCGCAGCCTCCTGATCAATGCAGTGGAGGCTTCTTGTATCAGGACACGGTGAGGCTGCTGCACATTAAAATACAAATGACACATCTACACATCACCAAGAATGTTATATTTCTGTGTTCTCCTTTCAATGCCATCAAGGCCTGCTACAAAGGGATTATATAGAAATTATTCTATATTACAAATCTGTTGTGATTTGGGTTCCTGACTCCAACATCGAGACACTCTGATCTCATTGCATTCAACTTAAAATCCTACTGCTGTCTTTATGCTTTATAGTTCATATTTCCTTCAGTAACACTGACACACCTACATGTGTACTGTACATCTAACACCAGGCTTTCCCCTCCTCTCACAGGGAGTTACAGTTTCTGGCAGACCAGGAGCGCATATCTCCAGCAGCCATTAAGAAAACTACACTGGACAAGGTGCTCCAGCAGCCCGGAGTCACAGTCAGCGGAGTGGCTAATGGGAACGGCAGGTCGGGGCTCAGCCTGTTCAACAATCGCAGCCCTGGGATCAAGAAGAACTGAGTACACAGAGGCACACCAACACATTAAAGATTTATGTGTACCAACATGTACACATGTGAACATGCTTAGATCTTATACACCTGTTAAACCAAACAGTTTAAAAAAACGGACTCAGGACTGGTCTGAAATCTCATCCAAATTGGCGTGGATGCCAAAGTATTTATTCATACTTGAGTTACATGTGGACCGTGGACCCGGTGGTGTCACCATCACATTACACACAAGCACAGGTGTATTCTGGGTGCATTGCTCCCAGTTATAGCCTTATGTTGTGATGCAGGATTACTGTCTACACAATGAAGAGCAAAAGTGCATTTACAATCTGTTGTCTGTCTGTCTAGGCTCTAGACTATCTAGGGCTGTTAGACAGTAATGACCCAGTGGGCCATCATGGGATCCTGGTACACACCAGGCAGCAGATGGCCGCTTGGATACCATCAAGCTCTTAATGTACATCTTTAATGACTGTTTAAAAAAATGTCACAATGTAAATCTTCATGTACCCTTCTTTTGTTTGTACGAATCATTATTTTTGTTGGGCCAACAGTGTTATACTGTTAACAAAGACTGAATGCGGTTTGAACAAAAAAAATTAACTTTATTTCTTGTTGTTTTGATTGTATATGAACACTATGATCTTCATGGATAAAAAGCCTTGCTGCCAATGTTACAATGGGGTTTATAGTACATAAAGAACACTGTGCCTGTTGTGCCCAGAAAATATTATTTCTCCTATATTAAAGGTCATTCCAAGCTAAAAAAATACACCTCTGTCAGCACGTCAGCATTTTCCTCACATCCCTCTGTTCATTTCCTGTTTGTTCATTTTTACGGTGCTTAAGGACATTGTGCATTTTAAACCCCAAATCTTGAATCTCTTGTTTTATACCACAAACATTTTACATTTTCTCTCATAAAGGGATGTGATGTTGCTAAGTGCTGCAAGAAATATATTCACATAAATATGACATAACGGAATTACGTCAATCCGTCCAAATTTTGTATTCTATAGATTTTTATCCCCATGTTACATGTAAAATATTCATTTATTTGGCGTATCAACTGCTGAGTTGGTTTGCCAGTCAAAGTGTCAATATTAAAGAAACAGAATCCAATACTTTTGTTTTTAAGGTTGAGTTTTTTTGGCTCTCAATAATCTGCCCTGGCTGTACTCAGGTGCTTTGTGTCCTCTTCTGTTGTTTCAGCTCCATTTGTTTCCCCAAGCCTGTGTAACATGTTTGTTTGTTTTTAGTTTGAGGTTTCCCTTTGATTAGTGCTGACCACACATCAGTGAGTAATTAAGATGCGCCCGGGCCTGCAGATAGCGCCCTATGATCAAATGACCCATTTGCACAGTATATTAAGATCAAATTACCCTCTTCACATAGCTGCCACTTGAGAGTGACTTAAAATTGACCCTGGACTACCAACAAATATAACTACACCACCTCACTTATTGGTAGATGGTGTTAGCTGTAGTGCTACAGTTATACGTTACACCCCTCTAGTAGGACACTGCCTCTTCAGATTCCTCTTCCCCCAAAATGTGTTCGTATATATACTGTAAATAACAAGAGGTAAACGTGTTTTTCTTCACTGGCTTGGAGATTTACTTTTCTGAGAGGAAACAGTCCAATTTTAGAAGTTTTCTGTCGGGACATATGACTATGAGTGGGCTCATGGATCCCTGTTCTCTCCTAGTGGTGTTTATATAATTGTTACTTAAGTCCAGAAATACAAGGGTGCTGTCAGTGGCGGACCTTACGTACCCCTAGGGTCAAAATACTCCAGAAGTGTTGTCAACTACATGTATTCAAGTATCAAAAGTACAATAAGTACAACAGTACAATTTGAACTACTTTATGTGCAGTTTGGTAGTCCAGTGGTTCTCAAAGTAGGGCTCCAAACCCCCCAAAGGGTCACAAGCCATCTGGGCCTCAAACTGTTAATTAAATGAGTTTAGAGCCGAAATCATGCTTTTGTGGAACTGCTAAAACAAGGGGCCCCAACTAGACAGCTTTACTGTAAGCAGTAACAAGCGATTAAGACTAGGAACCACTGGTTTAGTCTTTGCATGCATGCAGTGTATTTTATTATCTTATCATAGCATAGCATCATATGTCTAATCTTAATCTGAAAACCGTTGCCAACAACTACACTGTCAGATAAATGTAATGGAGTAGAAGAATAAAGTAGCACAAAATGGGAATAGTCAAGCACAATGTTGAGTTACTTGTATTTTTTATTTTATTTAAGTACAGTACTTATGCAAATGTTACTCTCAACCTTTGGGTGCTGCGAGCTTAGAAACTAAATATCAATGAGTTCTGAATTAGTATGATAGAGGACAGAAGTGCAGTTACATTTGGGTATGTTTTGAGATTGCAGTAGCTACAGCAGACTTGAAGTCTGCAAAGTACTTTTTTAGATATTTGGACCCATTCCTCCTCTCTAGGCTGCTGCATTTTGGATTAACAGATGCCACTTTGTGTTAGAATGAGATAGGCCCGTGGGTCTATTCAGGCAATACACAGGTGCATAATGGCGAAGTTAAAATGATGGAAGAAAAAGCGATGGTTTGTGAAGAGCCATGTCCTCATTATAATTGAACAATTTATAGCTGTTGTAGGATTAGTTTATTTTCCTTAAACTAATACACACACCAGTGTCCCTTGATTAAATTGCAGGCCTGCATGCTCTTAGTGCACTCGGGCTGTTTATTTGTGCGTGCAATGGTTTTTCCTCCGCTGCTGAAGTGTCTTGGTAATCCCTCTTTTATTCCAAAAGGTTATTCTCCGCTTGCTCCTGCCTCTGTCCGTTAAGATTAGCCAGTCCTGTAGAGACTTCCATTTGCCTCTCATTATTAGACATCTGTTACCTTTCGTTGGTCGGGCAGCTTTGAGCACCTCTCTTCCACCTAAGGTGAAGAGGATGTGCTCTGTGTCAATCATCCTGACACACCGGCAGAAGGTCTAAGATGGCAGTTCAATGGCAGATAATCCTGACTGGAAAGTTTGGGCTGCGTGTTTGTGTGTGAGAGTCAGAGCGAGAGGGAGTGTGCGCTGCAGCCCAGCATGGGATTTCTATCCACAGGTAGGCCAGATGCTACCTGTCATATCCATTCAATCAATGTAATCACTGACCTTTGCAGTAACATGGTTGTTTGCATATCGTATCAAGGCCAGGAGGAGTGCCAGAAACCAAGATGAGTGAATAGATAGAAGGGCTTTTTCTTTCTTTCTCTCCTCAATCAAACATCCACTTAATCCCCTCTAAAATGAAAAACTTATAGAGAGACAAGCCAGGAAAGAGCAGTTTGCGGGCAGTCAGTCCTCTGTGTTCCACTGCTACACTGTTTGTGCACCACTGTGTTGTCAAAAGTGTGATCTCCGGGCTGATACAGTATCAGCTTGGTGCAGCTGTCTGGTGAAACAGTCACACAAAGAGGAAGCTCTGACAGTTACCACACAGCCAGTGAATCTGCAGTATGGGCTTCCCTCTCATGCCAACTCGCAGTGAAGTACAGAGGATTCCTGCAGACACACACCTTTAGTCTACTGATGCTTATCTGGGATTCAGCCATGCACAGAGGTGTGTAGGAGTGGGTGAATACCGTTTGTGCTATTTAGGTCTTTTACTCTAGTGAAAGCAGCAATACAAGCATGTAAATACTCCATTACAAGTGCGTTTGGAACGTCAGCACAATATATATATGTATCAAAAGTTAAATTAATCCTATAGACTGGTCTCTTTCAGAGTGTTACTGTATTATTGATTAGATAATATTGATATAAAAGCAGCATTTTGTGTCTAGTCGGGAAGAACTATACACCAAGCAGCCCCATACCAACAAACTGTGACACCTTTCTATCAGAACCAGCATTAACTGTTTCAGCAGTTTGAGCTACAGTAGCTCATCTGTTGGATTGGACCACACGGGC